CGATAGCTAGCTTGCATCCCCGCTCCGGGGCTAGTTCTTGCCCTGGGTAGTCGCACGGCACCCACTCCAGCTGAATTCCGCCCTGCAGGTATCCCAGCCACCGTTTCTGTTTGTCCGTGAGGGGCCGGCCTTCGTTAGCTGCCTGAAAGAACACTCGCCACACTGCAACATGTAGACGTATCCTTCCTGGTTGGAAGTCTTCAGGATCTGGGAGCAAACAGACGACCTCTTCGAGAAACTCCTGTTCATCCCGCAGATCTACCGCGTCCTGTTGCCCCAGCCGCTGCAACCTCTGCCAGGCTTCCTGTAGCAGCTGGAGTGCCTCCCTGCCCCCAGCGTTGCGGGCACTCGCTTCCCAGGCTGGTGCTAGTCCTACGCCGCTGGATTTCCGCCCTGTCGGCTGGTGACTCACCCACTGGTCGTCTTCGCAAGGGTCATCTTCCAATGACAGCAACTCGGTCGGATCCCTTCCGTCGCCATCCTGAGTGTCTGCCGGGTAACCCACGTCAGGTTTCCTGTCATCGTCCCTTGCCGTTCCCTGCGTGCTCTCAGTCGACCTGGTTAGCATAGGCCTCTGGGCTTGGGTCTCCTATAAACTGAATAATAACCGGTGGGGCGGGAAACAGGATAAGAGGGTCTTGGAGCTTACACTTAGGTGTCCAAAAGGCAGAGCTGCCCTCTTCCATACCAAGCTGCTGTCCCCAGCCCCTGAAATGGCAGTCATGAGCCGCCCGTCCAACACCTGGACCGCGGCAGGCTTTTATTCCAGCCGTTCCCACCGACAGAACCGGCCCACCAGCAGCTACGAGACCAGAACAGTCGTGTCGGCAGCTGCATGTGGTGCCTATTCGAGGCACACACGGAGGCCAATGTCGGGCGCGGGGCCACCGTGCGCTTCCGTGGCTACACCCAAGCAGTCAGCCAGCACTTCGTAAAGCGGAATGCAGGCAAGAGCCTGAAGGTCGGCGCCCGGGCTCTCAAGAAGACCCATCGGCATTTCGTCAGCGCGGGCAGTGTCATGCAGGCGATGTACAGGATGCTCCACCTTGGGACTCCACACAAGATCACGCAGAAGCAGTTCGATGAGGCGGCGCTCCAGACTGGGTGCAAGGGCCTGACTGCCTTTGCGGCCCTGCCGTACGTCAACCTGTCGTGCCTCTTCACCGTCTCCACCGGCCATGCCCTGCTGTTCGGAGTGGTCAGCGACTTTGTGGACTACACGCTGAGGTCGCTCAAAGACATCAAGCCAGCAGACCCAGATGCCAAGCTGGTCATGTCTCGTGAAGCACGCCAGCGGGTCGTGGCCTGCGGCCAGTTCCTGGTCGTGACTTCAGACTTCGGGCGGCGGTACAAATGCATCATGCAGTACTGGTGAGCACGGCCAGCACTGGGCAGCCGGCCACACACGGGGTTCGCTAATAGCCGAGAAAGCAAATATGACCAGGGGCTTGCCTGGAAAAAACACCTTCGTCTGTCAGAGAGTTTGCTACTCTACCTATGTAATGTACTTCTTCTAGTGACACGGTTGCTCACCACACTGCCCCCCTCCACCCATGCAGCAAGAGCTACCGCATGGAGGACTGGCTGCACTTCGTTGAGACGTTCTCCAGCTACATCTTCAAGGGGGACGTGCTGCCCAAGGCCTTGCGGGCCCTGTGTTGGAGCCTGTGCAGCACGGTCACGCACTACTTCTGGCCGCGGCCCCCCGATGAGACCCGTGAGCAGTTCCTGGTGGCAGCCAAGGCGGCTGCATGCAAGCTCAGAGCTTACACGACCAGGCTGGAGGAGTTGGAGGTGCCGGGCTACATGTTCATGGTCAACCTGCATATCTGCGTATGCTGGCTGTACTCTGACCTGCCGGTGGAACGCATGATGCAGCAAATGAAGACGCAAGGCGGAAGGATGGTGTCACAGGCACCCGAGAAGCACTACACGCAGTGGCTGTGCCTGATGCGGGCCTCCGAGTCGCTCACCGAGGCAGACCCCGGGACCGGGGCCAAACACACGACCAACCAGCAGCTTGAGAGGATGTTGGCACGGCGCGCAGTGAACACCGAGGCTGCCTGGTTTGATAAACCAGGAGCCAACGGTTACCTGCTTGGACGAGGCCACATGGTCTACCCGAGTCCAGAACGAGTGGCACAAGTCCGGGCAGCCATGGCGAGCCTAGTGCACTGGTATGCCCTGGCATTCGAGGATGTGGCTTCCTGGACATTGGGTCCCAGTGCGAGCTACGAACTGGACACGGACCGCCTGGATAGGGCTCTCATGTCTACACCACCTGACTGTCCCAAGGCCCGCTCCTTATTGCGTGCCGAGGCACTCGACGAGGAGCAGTACTTCGGGGCTGAGTATGGGCGCCAGCAGCAGCGGATCTCCTGCTGGGCATGCTACCAGGCAGAAGTCGGCAGCGAGACTCGGACGTATGCGGCCTACCTCAAGCACTTCGTCCACCTGCCCGCAGAAGAATGTCCGATTCACTGTCGCAGATGTGTACTCGGGACAGGTGTTCAGCGAGGGGCTGGTGGTGGTCAACATGGCGGCCGCCCAGGGGGATCGCAGGCAGCCAGTGGGAGATGTGGCAGGACCTAGGGCTGCCGCTAAGTGAGCTGAAGGGCAAGTTCTGCACAGCTGCCCCGGAGGGGGACCGAAAGGGGCTGATGTACTTCATGCCATACACACACTTCACCAACCGCTGAGCAACCGCAGCAATGAGGCCGATGGATGCACCCTTGTCTGGTTGACAACGAATGACTACGAAAGTTATCCCATGCACATGTGCAACAGATGGCACGCATGTACATACATATGCAGGTGTATATGCGTAAAGGCACACTGGCAGTCCATATGCCTGTATGGAGTTTCGGTTCAGTACTCAAATGGCTTCACATTCTGCATTGTTGGAAAGAGTGCCGTCAGTGTAAGGTGCGAGGCAGACACCGCCACAGCAGTATCGGTGGGACTAGTACGACTGGTTGCTGACTGTCCAGTTCACTTGATGTGTGCTTGCTGGTCACAAAGTGGACGGCACCCACGTTTCAAAGGAGTGGCCCAGATGCGCCATCCCCTATAACAAACACGGTTGTTCCAAAAGGGTTACAATTGTGACCGAATTAACACACATGTCAGCCATCATTGTCGCCCATGCCTTCGCTTCCATGTGTTTCTTCTCCACCCATGCCACCAGCTTCTCTACTGACAGCACATTCCCCTTCGAGCATGCAGTCGTCGAGCGGATACAGTGTATCCTTCTGCAACCATCCTTGAGACTTGTGCCAGTATGAGCCGGCTGCCTTGTAACCCTTTTGGAACCACCCAGACCACACAAAGGGTTTAAGACAATAAGCCTCCCATTGGGTATTCACCCTAATCAGCCCTGGCAGCCGGTACTCTGAATTAATGCGACACACACGTGAACCCGCCCCCTCCATCGTCAATCCCCATCATCACAAGGCCACCTGATTTGCCGCCTTAAGGCAAGCTTGTGTATGGCCCTCTACAAGACGGGGGGCCCTGTGAGGTCAGCCGCCAGTAGCTCCTTGTACCCAGGGAGGGAAAACACCTTGGGGTAGACGGGGCCGAATGTTAACGAAGCAGCCTCTACCCACAGAAGCCCCTCAATGAGCGTGCCGGTGGGCCACTCACAGGGATACACAGAACAGATCGAACAGCGAAAAGAAACAAAGGTCCACGCGAACCTCGCAGAGATAGTACTGATGGCGAGCTGGCGGTATTCTAGTATGGGCGCCGTACTTGTATACTTGCATGTCATCAGCCAAGTCTTATCATGACCTGCCTCGCTGTCTATGTTCTTGTATTCCATTGTTATACCTGATACAGTTTACACTAGCCACGACTCTAGGATACAGGACGGACCAATAGCTTCCGCGCCGTCTTGACCTGAACAAGTGCAACTCTATAGTTCCATAAGCTGGAAAATGGAACAAGAATTTCCCGGAAGTATTGAACTCCGGTGTGCTTTAGGGGATTCCTATGAACATCAGAGCCTAAATGTGATACCGCTTAGTTTTGAGCTGGGAGGTAACATGATATCAGCTAGCATGTTCAATGAGAAGAATGCAATGTATTACTTCAAAGGCTGTTCAGGATCAGCCAGGAGGGCCTGGCCATTGGCGGGCCCGCGCCTGGCAAGGCGACCGCCACCAGCAACTTCATGACGCAGTTTCAGAAGAAGGTCTTGGACAAGATCCTGCGACCGTCGACTATCACTGCAGACCACGGTGCTGTGGCAGCCGCAGTGGGAGCTGAGGCAGTGGATACTGCGGCTAACGACGGTGATGGTGCAGCAGCGAGAGCAGCCGCTGGGGACCACGAACAGGCGGTGGGTGGCGGAGAGGCTGCTGCCATGGGCACGCATGCCGTGGATGGTGGCATGGGTGGCGGCCGCACAGCAGGCGTCGCAGCAGCAGCAACCGCAGGGGGGGACACCGGCACGGGTCCCAGGCAGGGCGAGGCGGGCGTTGCCCAGGTAGAAAACCTAGCAGTTTGGAACCTGGGGAGCATGTTTAACAAGGTCGAGGGGTGCTGATGGGTTATGTCAACTTTCAATGTCAGGGCAGCTTGTTGGGTCTTACCCTGATATTTTACCTTGAACGTAAGCACTGGATGTTGCTGCCCCCCCCACCACAGGACGAGGATACCACCAACTACGATGCGTTCAAGGAGTGGGTCGGCGAGGTGCCAAGAGCGGCTAAGGGCGCAGCTGGCAAGTGCAGGCGGGGTGGCGGTGATGACGACGACCTGGGTGTGAGGTCGGGGTGCAAGGTTGGAAATAAACAGCAGAAGGGGAACAAGGGTGCAGGCCGGGGCAGGGGTGCAAGCAAGGGGACCACCAGAGGTGCGGGGAAGGGCGGCGCAGGCAAGGGAGGGCGGAGGGGGCGGACAGAGGAGGGTAGCTCGGAGGGTGGGTCGGATGCTGGTGAGGAAGAGGTCCTAGCCGCTGGCGCTGGGGAGGAGTCCAGCTCGGAGGACCCGGGCAAATATAGCGAAGCTAGCAGCAGCAGCAGTGGCAGTGGCAGCAGCGACAGTGGTGGAAGTGAGCAGTAACATGGCAGCAGTGATGAGCGCTTGGGGGTGCACACACCAGGTCGGCCCCAGGCAGGATGGGACATACCAATCCCAATAGGTGCCGGTACATGTCATGCATCGGGGGTTTCATCCGTAGGAGTAGGCACGAACTCTGCAAGTGGTGGTGAGACTCCTTGGCGAGCACTTGCTGGTGGTGAGACTCCTTGGTGATCCGGAACCGCCGCTGGCACGCGTGGGGGTCGAGGGCGTGGACACAGCAGCGGCAAGAGAACTGGGCGCGGGACAGGGCGCGTGGACAGCAACACAGGCGGTGGAGCCGAGGAGGCATTGGTGTATGGAGAGAACGATGCAATTCAGGTGAGGCGTGTTTGCTCGTTTCCAGACTGCTTGCAACCAGGGCTGCCTTGTAACCCTTTTGGAACCTGGGGAGCATGTTTAACAAGGTCGAGGGGTGCTGATGGGTTATGTCAACTTTCAATGTCAGGGCAGCTTGTTGGGTCTTACCCTGATATTTTACCTTGAACGTAAGCACTGGATGTTGCTGCCCCCCCCACCACAGGACGAGGATACCACCAACTACGATGCGTTCAAGGAGTGGGTCGGCGAGGTGCCAAGAGCGGCTAAGGGCGCAGCTGGCAAGTGCAGGCGGGGTGGCGGTGATGACGACGACCTGGGTGTGAGGTCGGGGTGCAAGGTTGGAAATAAACAGCAGAAGGGGAACAAGGGTGCAGGCCGGGGCAGGGGTGCAAGCAAGGGGACCACCAGAGGTGCGGGGAAGGGCGGCGCAGGCAAGGGAGGGCGGAGGGGGCGGACAGAGGAGGGTAGCTCGGAGGGTGGGTCGGATGCTGGTGAGGAAGAGGTCCTAGCCGCTGGCGCTGGGGAGGAGTCCAGCTCGGAGGACCCGGGCAAATATAGCGAAGCTAGCAGCAGCAGCAGTGGCAGTGGCAGCAGCGACAGTGGTGGAAGTGAGCAGTAACATGGCAGCAGTGATGAGCGCTTGGGGGTGCACACACCAGGTCGGCCCCAGGCAGGATGGGACATACCAATCCCAATAGGTGCCGGTACATGTCATGCATCGGGGGTTTCATCCGTAGGAGTAGGCACGAACTCTGCAAGTGGTGGTGAGACTCCTTGGCGAGCACTTGCTGGTGGTGAGACTCCTTGGTGATCCGGAACCGCCGCTGGCACGCGTGGGGGTCGAGGGCGTGA